GTTAAGGTGTAGCCATTCTTATCAGCATTTAATAAACCTTAGCTATCTGCACTGTATATAACTTATTGTTGATTTTATTTTTTGCTTTTCAGCCTAATGTTACTGGTTTAATCTTAGCTGGTTCTGCTGATTTCAAGAGTGAACTTAGCCAATCAGATACGTTTGACCAGGTCAGTTTTGAATATGTCATAAGTATTATAGATAGAATCGCATAATTGAGTAAAATCTCGCATTCTGATTGGTTAACGATGCGAGGTATTTAGTGTGGAATTGTGAGTTGAAAACGAGGCTAAGCAATATTGTTTCGCATCTACGTAACAACTATCGTCAAATTCTAACACAACAACTGCAAAAAAGGTCTTCTACAATGTCATTTTAAAATGTTTTCAAAACCATTGTCACCTTTTGAAGAGTTAAAAACAAACAAAAGCGTTTTTTATAGTGAGCCGGAGGTTCTTCCTTGTTTTGAACTGAACTACAAATTCTCGAAGAGGCATAAAAAACCTCTTTCGCATGCGACAACGAGAAAACAAGAAAATCTTGTGAACACGGCCCAGAAAATGGCAAGCCAAAGTTTAACCAAACAAAACGGAAAAGCGACAATCGATTGTCACATATACAGGAGAAGAAATACGTGTAAATACCTTCAAAGACGACATGGCCCCTCAGTGAAAACACGAAAAAGAGTACGCCTCTTGCAATCGTCCTGAATCGTGATACTTAGAAAAGTACAAAACAGAGCTGAACTTGAACAGCATTTCTAAAACATTTCAAGGTACTTACCATATATCAATCGCGACGTTAAACTTTCAGTGCTTTCGCTTGGACACTTCATTTCTTTCAGTTTTGCCGCTGAAGAGGTAAAAGGTGTAAATTATTTTCCTTCTCGAGCAAATGACCAATTTGAAAAAAGATGTTATAGATAAACGGCTTGTAAATTCAGTGAAATACTTCTATTTATCCTCACGATTAGTGTGAAGCTTGTTTACATGTAAAAAAGTTTGAAAACAAATGTAAAAACAAGCACAAGGTACAAAAAAAGTTGTCGAAGGGTCAAACGTGTACGACTGACCTTGCTTCCTATTCGCCAACGCAATGACAGTTCTGACAGTTGACTTAGCGATTCGTGCGATATCGGTTTTCAAGTGCAGTTTAACGTGGAATTCCCTCGTCAGGTAATGAATTTTCCTATAGAATTATTTTTAGAATTATTGTGTGTGGCTGTTTTAGAAATGCATTTTTAACTTAATTTACAGTCCTTGGACCCCAAGTCCTTGGTTCGTGTTGTCTAAGCAAAAGGTAAACCAGAAAGGAATATCTCTTAATAGGTTTAAGGTGATATATTGCCTAATTTCATACCGCGCGGGAGCCTGGCACTACCGGATTTTCCCGGACTTTTTAAATTCCGGATTCAAAATGGCTTCCAACACAGAGGGTAAAGCAGAGGTCATTGCGTGCAGTTGAAACGATATTAAGGGCCAGATTGCTCCAGAAAGTTAATATTTTACAGCAAAGAACAGTTGTTTTACTGCTATGAAGAACTTTGATTAAAACCTTGAGAAAAGAAAGATCAAATCGGAGACTTTCGCTACTTGGAAGTATTGGAAGGATTCCCGAATTGTTCGACAAATATTTGAACAAAGAACCGTCGCATTTAGCTTTTTTTACGGCGCTGGATCCAACCGAATATTGGGGAATGATAAGAGAGTGGGTGTACCTGTCTTTACAAACCATAAAATAAAGACTACCAATAAAGCGAAACACAACAGAGTGACCCTGAGTGAAAGGGCAACATCGTATTAGGTCGGCAAGGCTTACATTATGTTTTCTCTCCGTCGCTGCGTACGGTCTCAGCAAAAAATCCTAAAGATCGGACCAGAGACAATTCTCACTGAACACAGATAAAAGCAAGTACACTTCAGTCTTAAAAGAGAGGCATTTCTCGTCCGGTAACACTGAAGTTCCTGTGACCAGACCTCGTGCATTGAGCAATGTTATAATAAAGAAGTAATTTTTCTTGGGGGGATAAATTGTATATAGTATATAGTTATTTTTTGACTGAGGCCCTGCACTGAGTATGGACTAGTCCCTTATTCTCCTGCGTGTGATTTAAGAACACTAGGTTCAACATACATAACGCCACAAAGTTCACTACACTCAGTACCTTTCACGGACATTTCAATCTCTTTTCCTCGACGGGAATAATCCAGGTAAGCCTTCTGTACTGCCCTTTTAAGAGCGGCCGTCCGAAAATATCGCCTGGGGGTGTGCAAAATGAAAAAATCGAAAATCCCCAAACTTTGTCAGAATATAGGTCTAGGTAAACTATTTCTAGAATAATAACTTTTAGTTCGATTGGATTTTTATTTTACGCGTACGGCGACCGAGTCGGTTCGGAGGCTCTCAGATCAGTTTTCACGGGCTCAAAACCATATATTACTTAAAAATCGTTTAAAAATTAAAGAAGTAAAAACCTCTGCCTCTCAAAATCTTAATAGAAAGAACACAACCTAACCAATAGTTTCGTTGTGAAATTTTCCTATTCGACAGCAAATCTAATATTTTTCGGAATTTTAGTAATTTTACTTATTTTACCGATATTTGACAGACATAAAATTGGCAAATTTCAGACACAAAAATCACTACTTGGTATACGGCTTTGAGCCATAACTTTCCTACCAATAAAAAGAGCAAGGTGTCTTCCTCAAATAACTGCTATATAATTTTTGGGCAATCTTGCAGAGAAAATTTTTGAACGCCAAACAAATGCGACCCTTGAGGTCAAAACACGCCATTTTGTCACGACATTCGAAGGCGGTTAAATCAATAAAAATGCTCTATTGGCCAGATTCCTCAAAAAGCTCTATGCTATTGAGCAATATTGATTAGACGCGACTTATTTGCACTTCTTTTGCCTAATTATGTCACTTACAATGCGCCCGTTGGAAGTCGAAAGCCTAATTTTAACCGGCGGTCAATGTTTGACAGCGTTCAAAACCCCAGGTTCAAAACTTACTCTCAATTGCATTCATGCACACAAAAGAACAGATTTACCGACGCTGGCTCACATAACGATGTATAAAGACTAAATATAATACTTATCTCTTAGGAAATGAAGATGTTTTGGAAATATATAACCGGCTATTGCGGTCCCTTCACATCACTGATTAGTGTCCCTGCTCGGAGCGGGAAGGAGAATGCGTTACTCACTTTTGTCCTAGGGTAGGGTGATGCTCCAGAGGGAGGGGGAGGGGAGTATCAGTAGCTCTGTGTCTGAAAAGTTCTGGAGTAAGTAAGATTTGTGCTGCATAATTCACTAAATCCTTCCCAAAACTAAAATCTAAAAGTAAAAAAGATATGTCTGTTGGCTGGTTGAAAGTACGACGAACTGATTACGAAACCTTTGAGAAACAAAAAATTATGCCACATGCGTTATCTATTATTTTGGGATATCTGGTCTGCTGATCCTGGCATGCGCGCTTATTTTAAGCTAAAAGATCATCAGATTATAGGAACACCCCATGGAGCTACAATCTTGGACAGAATCATGAAAAATGAAGCAGCGTGCTCGAGGAGAAGCACACCCTTGGGTGAAATTTACCCCAGCTGAGCGCCCGGGTAACTCTCTGTGATATAAATAGCGTATACGGCAACTGGCTCCGCCCGAAAGGGGTAGCTAAGGTTTCAGGTATGTTGGAGGGTAGTGGATTTTAATATCAAAAGTATAAATGAAAGGTTGAGAAAAGGACCCAAAAGGAAGGATTAAAATACAAAATGCAGAGAAAATATCTTTTTTTTTGTTTTTTTTTTTCTATTCATAGAGTTTAAAAATAGGAAAAAGGGAGGGACGGTGCATTTAACGCGGGATGCAAAGAAAAGCGACTTTTTAAGGGACACCATTTTAAATGGAAAGTGCACGAAAAAGGAGACCTTTTCAGTCAAAAATGGTATATAAATGGGTAATGGGTTCATTCCTGGGGCAGTGACTCCCCGTATAAAACTTTGTTTGGTATCCCGTGTCGTTGGGCTTGTCAATGTTGCGTTTGATGTGCTGATCTGGAAAACGAAGAGAAACGAAGAAAACTGATCGATGAACACGTAAAATCGTGCTCTTGTAACTAATTACTGAGATTTCAAACATGTCCACCTACTCTCTTCTAACATTCTGCAGTACAGTATTCTTCCAATTTCATTGCGTAATAACAGAAAATCTGGTAAGCTGATAAGCAAATTTACCCGTTTTGGAGTAAGTATTTGAATGGCCTCACTGCTAAATCTCCTGGCATCCAAGCTAACGAGGGACTGTGTCTCGCGGCTTGTACGTGTGCGGAGGTAGGGTGGGGCAGGGAGTCGGGGTGTGGAATTGGGAGCTGTGGATGTTACTGACGCTAAGTGTAAAACACAACCTAAAGAAAAACAAAGTTTCAGCTAAATTTAAATCTAGGCGTAGACAGATTCGGCTCGGTAACTGTCTAGCAACTTGTACAGATTGACACCATTTCCATAATGGATGGGTATCCTGTGATAATATTCCAAATATGGTAAAAAAAAAAATACGTACATTGAAGGCAGCACGCTGCACGCCTCTGCTGCTTGTTTCAGGTTCAAGGATTAAGGCCGAATGCTGTTTCACTGGAAGAGCTTAAGATGTTCTCTTTGTGGATGCCAATTTTGCAGCTGCTGACGGCGTTGTGTACTCGAGTGATACACGATGAAGTAGTCTCAGGACGTCTCAGTTTTATTTTCTCAATATTTTAGCTGATTGGATCTTTTTTTTCTAGAGATCAAACGATGACAACCATCACGTAGGATCTTCGTCCACCCCTTATGCAGTTTATTTCTAAACCGGAAGTGGAAGGTTGTCATAGTGTGTTCAATCAGTTAGTTCAGTTTATTTTCTCTCATTTTTTAACTAGTGATAAGCTAGAGCCTTTTTAAAGATTGTTGTTTACGGTTATAAAAGGTTCTTGTTTTTTGTTGCCCATTACGAAACTTTAGAAATAAACTCCAGACGCTGTAGACGAAGATCCTGCTGGTTGTCAACGTTGGATCGCTAGAAAAAAGTTCTAATCAGCTAAAATATAAAGGAAAAAAAAGAAAAACGTCCTAGGGCGGGATAGTTTCAGGCTGGGATAGTTTTGAGTGACTGTCCAGGCCTACTACATAAATTGTTGAGTCAGCTTCCGGTTTGAAGTGCATTGCACTTCCTGTTCTGTGTCACGCAAACGTGACATTCCCGCTCGGTAATATACAAGTATTTGGCACAGGAAGGGAAGACAGTATGCTGCTGCATATCTTTGATAGGCTTTAAAGAAATGGTAGGTGTATAAATAGGGTTTCTTAGTATCATATTAAGAAAGTTACAATTCCACGTTGAATTGCGTGAATTATTTTGAGTTCTAAAAAGCTATGACGTTTCAATGGGCTTTCGACAGCGACAACTTAAGAAGAGTATAGATATTGCAAGACGCAAAATGTCACTTGTTAGCTAACGGTTCCCAACAAAATGCACAGAACAAGGCATATAGCTGTTCAAAAACAAATTGCCTCGGCAAATGGAAAGAGTTCCAGGCGGAAAAACGCATGAGTATCTTGTTAACCGGGAGTATCGTTGTTTTTGCCCTTGGAATGTCGTGACAAAATGGAGTGTTTTGACCTCAAGCGTCGCTTTTGTTTGGCGTTCAAAAATTTTCCCTGCAGGATTGCCCAAAATTTTTATTGCATTTATTTGAGGAAGGCACCTTGCTCTTTCTATCGGTAGGTAAGTTATGGCTCAAAGCCGTATACCAAGTAGTGATTTTTGTGTCTGAAATTTGGCAATCTTATGTCTGTCAAAAATCGGTAAAAGCAAAATTTCACAACGAAACTATTGGTTAGGTTGTGTTCTTTCTATTAAGATTTCCAGAGGCAGAGTTTTTTACTTCTTTAATTTTTAAACGATTTTTAAGTAATATATGGTTTTGAGCCCGTGAAAACTGATCTGAGAGCCTCCGAACCGACTCGGTCGCCGTACGCGTAAAATAAAGATCCAATCGAACTAAAAGTTATTATTCTAGAAATAGTTTACCTAGACCTATATTCTGACAAAGTTTGGGGATTTTCGATTTTTCATTTTGCACACCCCCAGGCGATATTTACGGACGGCCGCTCTTTAAGTCTTTACTCCAGCATACTTAGGTTACGATCGGTACGTACACATTCTGTGTTCTTGCCTGCGATGATCCTCTACAATACAGAAGCCGGTGGAATTAAACAGAGGATCCTTTGCTGTAGAAAATTTATAGTCATCTTTGGTTCGAGCGACCTGTTCATCGAACAATTGCTTGCACTTGCAGCTGAGTGTCGGCTCCTTAAGTTTAGCTTCAGGGCATGACAAGTATCCTTTCCTTACTAAGTTAAAGAAGATTCTCCGAGGGAATATTAATCAATGTTTCTTCGAAAAAGAATGCTTTTGTTCGAGTTTTTACTCTGACTATCCTCTGACTATCCGCCATTTTGAAACTGGACTTTTTAAAAAGTCCGGGAAAATCCGGTAGTGCCAGGCCCCCGTGCGGTATGAAATTAGGCAATAGACAAAGTTTCTTGAGGTTGACATCTGTGCAAATACCTCGTCAGTGTTCTACTGCAGTTCCCTAAAACCATTTGACAGCTGTTCCCCATGTACACTACAGTTCTAGTATGTGTGGTTTTATGCTGTCTAGATTAACATGAGTCTTTTCACTCTCCACTGTTTTGCTACTATTTAACTGGTGTTCTTACACAGCAGAGAATTTTGCGGGCTCAAACAGCTACATCCCACTCAATCATTCTTTTCATTGGTACAGGGGCTCACTAATGTCACTCCCATGACCTTCAATGCCAACCCCAACTAACACTGTGAAAAGAGTTTGTTCTTGCTAGTTCTTAATGTTGCCCCTGTTAGCAATGGTCCAGTATGGTGACCTTTTATGTCTTTTTCACTCTTTGCTTGTTTCAGAGGTTACAATCAAAAGTATTGAAGCTCGTAGATGTGTCATATGAAGGTGAAAATGGCTTTAATCAGGTCAGCCTGTTTTGTAGTAACGTATACAGCGTCATAACTCTAATATGAACCTTATCTTCTCGGTCTGCGGTACTGTTAAGTTAAAGACCTCTGTGGTTGAGTTTGGGCCCAATTATGCAAAGTGCCAGAGCCATAAGGCAATGGGGAAAAAAATAGGATTAATTACTCACAGTACAGCCTAAGAAGGCAAGGTCTGTAAGATATTACCTATCTTTGAGGCTAATCAGATGCATTGAAAATTATACTTTCAAATAAAGAGGGACTTACGTTTGAATATGGCCTATAAAATTTGTGCACATTGTGTGAACTGACAGAGTTATTTAGACTCAGCCAGTTGCTTGTTTATGGCTTTGACCAACTTAGCCTGTTCCAGGCGTTCAGATAGTAGAGGGCGGCAGTCAGTGGGGAGCGAGTTAAATTGTACACTGGGGAAAGAAGGGAGGGGGGGGCTTAGGGGCGAGAGCGAGGGAATGCCTGTAAAAATTGTTAACAAAGGGTCCTTCCGGTATACTGGATTCCAGTATACCCTCTTATTGGTCGATTATGACACCTTCTGTTAACACTCGAGCACTGGTAACATTGATGAGGAATGCGATATGGGGGGAGAGAGACATCTGTTATCGAATCATGCAGACATCGACGCTACTATAGACAATGCAATCGAGCATTTTCTGTATGTGGAATCTTTTCCTGAAGAGCAGAAAACTTGCTTGAATCTCGTTTGCCGGGGCCAGGACGTTTTCGCAATTCTTCCAACGGGCTCTAGAAGACCTTCATTTTTCTACTCTTTCCATGAATAATGAACGTAATCAAAGGAAAGTTGGCGAGTCAATTTCCGCGATCATCATCGTTGCGCCTCTCGTAGCCATAATGAAACCAAGCTCAAGAGATTTGGAATAACAGCAACAACAGCCATAGGATGGGGACAGGAGGAAGGCATGGACGAAGACACAGCAATGTGGAAGGAAGGTGTGCATGTGAGATCTTTTATGGAAGCCCAGAAAGGCAAAAAAAGTCTTATTTGAAAGGTTATTTAGCCACAATAAAAAGATCAATGCTTTAACAGAGGTCAAAGAAAATCAATACTTAACTGCATCTGTAATCAAATCCTTTCAGAAACAAACTGCAGGAAATAATTGCCCAGTATGCATGACTGACCATCCTAATGTTAGACTCAGAGCGGCAAAAATTACATTTGCTTAGTTAAAAGAAGGAAAACCTCTGATGTTGTTTATTGAAAGCTAACTCAAAGGTCACGTTTCACACTATAACGAGCTTGTGGGTCTCGTCGAGCCTATCAACACTTTGTTTCACAATTCAGTCAAACTGTAGTTCATGTCACAGTTACGCGGTAGGTGGTCAGTTAAGGGCGGAAAAAGCTCTGTAAGGGAATGTTTACAGGTGTTCCCTCCCCATTCCCCCCCCCCCCGTCTCCCCTCGTTTTTTTTTTCTTCGTGAATTTTACTCCCGCGCTCTACTATCTGAACGCCTGGAACAGGCTATGACCAACTTGAAAGTCTCTGCACACATTTTTCTGGCACACTTTTCCTTTCTCTGTTGTTGTTAAGTATTGTAATACTAATGGTTAGTAGAGTAGAAAATACAAACTCTAAGTAATTCGTGCAAGGCAATAAAAAACTGAAATGTCTTAATCTCTGGATAATGTACATTTGATTTGAAGGTACTCAATGTTTTTCTCTATTCCAGGCAATTGAACTTGCTTCAGAGGTTCTTCCAAATGTCAATTTTATTCAAGAAACGAAAGTTATAGGTGACATATTCATGTCTGTTAATTTCTTTTATCCAACTCTTCAGCATTCCCATGCTCTGAAAGTACGGTGTAACTGGGCCCTTGGAAATTGCTAAGTAAAAACCGAAATAACAATACTTTGCAGGGTGCAAAGAAAGGGATTTTCACACCTTGCCATTAGGACAAGCTGTAGTTACCATGTACTAGCCCAAAAGTCGTTTGAGCTAGCACAAAAGCCAATTTTTACTGAGCAGGTTAGATTACAGTTCTTTTGTGATTTGAATTCCCTGTAAAAACATCATTTGCCCATCAAGCAACTTAAGAACGGAACACACTAGCTTGATAGCAAAATCCAGTAGCCCCGGGCTATTGGACAATACTTTCTTTGCACACTGCTTTGTAATTGTGTACAAGCATTGTGCAGTTTTTGTATTCTGTGGTCAAGTTATAAAACTTTTTCAATTATTGTAATTTTCAGTGTAGTTATTGTTTTCAGACCCTAAAAAAATGGCTACACTTGTAGATTCGTTTGTGGAATACACTTGTAAAAGTTTTATTAAATTGATCCCTGCGTGTTTTGTTCAATCCAAAAATATTATTTAGAGTGGGTGTGGTCATGACTTGCATACATTTGAAAGTGGGAAATTTCAAAATTGGTCTGAGTCAAATTAAGGCAATTAAGTTTTTAGTGAGTTTGTAGTGATACTTGTTGAACTCTCTTGTGGTGTTTCTTAGTCCTTCTTATTTTTGCGTAGGGAGATACTTTGATGAAATCTCTCAAGATACTGGAAAATTCTGTTTTGGTGTGGAAGATACCTTGAAGGTTTGTTGAAATACCCTGATTTCTTTCTCACATGTTTCCGTTACATAATTATGAAATTATTAAATTAAAATTCTGAGCAATTCGGCTCCAATGAATCTTGTTTATTGAAAATTCAAGTGAATTAAGCTGAATCTTTTTAACACGTATTGTGTCCTTTGTTTTACCCGAAAAGTAGCATTTTCTTGAATAAGGTTTACACTGTCATTCATTAGTTTATCTGTACAAGCTCCGGATATGAGCAAATAATTTTGCAAATGTAAGTAAAGATAATTATTTATTTACATAAGTCAAACATGACAAGACTGCATGGCTGGGCCAGCACGACACTTTGCAATGGCTTTCTCGTTTCTCATTACAAAAACAACACACGAAATCAAAATCTCTTTTGTCATGGCGCTTTTTTCTCCTTACTCCACCTAAGTAGACGTGAAGTGGTATATTTTACTATTAATAATAATAAGTAATAGAAACACAAACTGATTGGTCCGATCGTGAAGATGTAATAGCTCAGTAATTTTAAGGACATAATGTTCAACCTTTTTTGGTAATGTCCGACTAAGATGGTGTCTTAGTAGGACGTATGTCCTTTCAAGCGAAAAAAAAATATTTGCAGCCCTAGGTTTGTGTGAGGAATATTGTTTGCAATAATTGGTCTCTATAGATGAGATTGATTGTTTATTTTGGGTACACGTATGTGCCTCATGCACGACAAAGTAAGTTACGGGTCATCATTACTGCAAGGACAAAACGACTGAGAGCCAAAAAGCCCTCAACAAACACCCTTAGAGTTGTGTTTTGAATATTTACCAAATCATGTACTTGAACCTTTGGCATAGCATCTTTTAACAAGGAGGAATATTAAAAGAACTAGGGCATTTTTTCCAAGTACATGTGGAAAGGCATTGTTTTCGTCAGTTTCCTTACTCAAAAGGGAATATTTTGTGAAGGGTATTTTGCGTCAATGTTAAAGATTCAAGGATTGAAAGAAATCATTTGAGCAGTTCCAAGAGAATAAAACGACATGTTAATTCTCTCTTTTGTTAAGTTAAAGAGAAAAGCACTGAAAGAGTGCTAAATTTTACAATTTTTGCAGTAATGATTTGGAAATGACATGTTTTATTTTTAGGGATTAGAAATGAGAGCAGTGGACATACTTATTGTGTGGGAGAATGTTGAAATCAGTCGACTTGTTCTGAAAAATCACCAAACAGATGGTAGGTGAATGCTCAAAACCATTATTTTTACATTTTTAGATACACCTAATTTCAATAACGTTGTCCTGAAAAAATAGTACAGGATAACGCTAAATAGGAATCAATGAGGCTAATCAAGCCACATTCTCAGAGTGGATTCATTTGCAGCCGTTGCATTTCCCCGCTGGATTTTTTAAAATTGTTTTTCAGCTTTAAAACAATAGCAAGTTCCAACAGGCAAATACAACGTCCACGTGCGGATGCTGCAAATAAATTCACAAGGCTTATTAGCCTTGTTAATTCCTATTCGCCATTTGCACGTCTCTCATAATACACCTTGTCTGCCCCCCAAAATTTTGCACAACCTTTGTTTTTCATGTCTCCTGGGTATTACAGCCGTTCCAAGAGAAGTTTAAAGATAGATAATTTAAAGATAGTTGCGAGAGACATTTTCTCAGTTCTTGTACATTGTTTGCGTTCCTTTCCATCTCAATTCATGATGTCCCAACAGTTAAACCTTAACCTATTCATCCCAGAGTGTAGCGGAAAACACCATTCTCAAGTAGTGTAGGAGCAGTTGAAGTGTGAGTGTTTAAGTAGTAGCATCTAAAAATGTGAAATTAACTTTTCTCCTCAGAGGAAAAGATCCTTCATCTTAATTCCAAACAAGAGAAAGACAAGACTTACTCTATTGACAATGAGGTTTGTAATCAATAATTTATTGACGTTATGTTTTACTTTTGAAGCCCATTTGTAGTTTCTGCTGACCGTTTTCTTTGCCTGTGTAGACTGGAGTTGAATTGGAACTTGTTGAGAAGATGCCCCTACTGGAGTGGCTTGCAAACAATTATAAAACCTTTGGTAAGTGTTAAAATTTAGATATCCAGTCACCACTTGGTTGAGTCAAAACAGACTTATATAAAACACCTTGTTTTGTACTCCCCAGAACCAGGGGTTTCGTTTCAGGCCGGACTCTGGACGCAACGTCCGGTTGTTTGACAGGTAGCGTCTGGTAGCTCACACACGAAATTATAGGTCACTGATATAGCTTCAGTAAACTGATTATTCTGATGAGTCGATGCAACAACTGGAATAGACAATGGACACTGTTTCCGATTGGAATTTATTTTGGAATCAACTAAAAAACGAAAAACTGCAAACTGATAATTTTAGTTGGCAAATCAAATATTTCATTTTTTGTGAGTATTATTTTTTCTTAATGCCTCAAGTTGGATAGCGCTATCCATCGGTCAACGGATAAGTGTTAGGGAAACCAATTGCGCTATAGTGTCATCCACCTTTTGAACAACTGGGGCCTGGTCCATGGAACACAGGAAATTGCATTTTGGAGAGTCCAATTTTAGAAATTTCTTGGGGGGAAATTTTGTTTTTCCCCCGGACCTCCCTAGGAGTTCGTGCCTCCGGCACTCAAGGTTTGTACGGGCGGCACGAACGTTGCAAGTCCGCCAGCTAAACCTCTGCATCGGGAACTTCCAAATGCTACTGAAAAACATGCTACAACCCTTGGTCGTGAGACTGAAGTCTTATAAATGTCAACGATTATTACACTGTTTTTAGGTGCAACGCTTGAAATTATAACAGACAAATCCCAAGAAGGAGCACAGTTCTGCAAAGGTTTTGGAGGAGTAGGAGGTAACTAGCAATTCTCTTACCGTGTAAACAGTTTTTAGAAATTTTGATCACTTCTTTGGAAGACCCTTTAAAGAGGCTTCAACGAGTTAAAGCAGTAGACATGAATGCCTGCTTGTACTGCAGGCCCAGCACAACTATGCGCTGTACAGTGCGCCGATAATTTGACACTGAAGCATGTTATTCAGAGATTAAAACGGTTTATATTTCCTTAAATACAGTGGGCAATAAAAATTGGGCTGTATTAACGAGGGTTTTTTTTACAAGAAAGTGTATGGCCGTTTTGCCGGGCGGCCCCCAAAAATTGGCGGTAATAACGATGTGACCGTATCACCGAGGTGGCCGTAAGGCGGGGTTCCACTGTACGTTTCTTTTCTGGACGATCTTAATAAAGAAATTCGTGCCAACAGTGTCTCATTAATTTCTGGGCGCAATTTCCAAGGATTAATCTGTTGGACCTGAATAAAGTCAACTATTTACTTATTTTATTTGGCCTTTCTGGCAAACGTTCGTTTGCGATCACGAAGGAGGCATTTTTCTTTTTCATTTTTTGGGAGAAAAGGAAACCTTTCCCACTCCGCCCCCTCTGTACCAATAACAGCTGAAAGTGTTTCGTTCATATACAAACACACGCTACACACTTCATCTGTAAGTATGTATCACTTAAGTTTCGCTTACTAAGGCATTTTCTTTTTTGTGCTGTTATTGCAGGTATTTTGAGGTATCGAGTAGATTTCCAGTCCATGGAACTTGACGAGTAGGATAACGATTTTAACGACAGTGGCGATGATTACTAACCCAGCGCCGAGTTGCAGGGGACATTTCACTGCTGCCTGCCTGTACATAGGAGAACAGCCAAAGGAAGCTGTGTGGCCCTTGTCATTCACAAAAACCAATGGCTCTTCTGTTTTAACATCTCGATTTAACACACATACTAACTGTAACTTTAAAATGCAATTTTTAAAAAAACGATCGGGCGTGTTGTGTTTTTAATTCGCCCAGATTACAAGCAGGACCAAAGAACAGAAGCAAGATTGTACTTCGCCGGCCAAGGAGCGGTTTATTTTCTACGGTGGCTTTGTTAGGAGTAATGAGCAGAAATGTGAACTGAGTTTGAATTCTCAGAACCGATTTCGAAAAACCGAAGGTTCTCGTTCAACTCACTTATCAATCAACAAGTGGATGGAGGGATGAGGTTCTAAAGAAACTGGGGAGTAACCACAGTATACTCTCCCACTCTAACCTGATCGGCGTTCCTATGGCTTTTCCTTTAACATTTGCAGGGGTTTCCATAAAAATTGAAGTAGCCAGGAGGTTTGAATATTATCCCATTTCACAACACTCAATTACTCGCGCTCATTGTTATTAAGATATGGGAAAATTGATCGAGCACCCTTGAGGAGGTGGAAACTGTAATCGATTCCCTATCCAAACACGAATTTTCAGCAAAGAAAGAGTTGGGGAGGGTGGGCCGTTCCACCTTCCTCCTTGGCGCTGATCAGAGACTGAGCGGAGAGGGAGTGTTCAACGGGATTTATTATTGCCCCTTGGGATTCAGGGCCCCGTGCACCTGCATACCCTTGTGCATAAGACTTGTTATTTTAATGTTTTGGCTTCGCGCTTCGATTTTGAGTATTGTGAATAGCAAAGAAGATTTTATTTTAATGAAAAGATTCACTTTTCCGGAAACGACCTTGTCGCGGTTGTGGGTCAAGGGAAGGCACAGACGAAACGTTTCAAAACATTGACGTCAGTCCACTCAGACGTGACAGTAGGAATGTCTACTGTCGATAATCGAGCAGATGCACCCGCCGGGTTGAGAAATTTGGCCAATGAATGATTTTCCAGTAATCGGAGACATAGTTATGCGCACAGGATTATCGGATCGCCAGGAGGAAAACATTGCAAGTCGCTACAAAGAAATGTATGGCGTGGAGCTGTTTCTCCGTTTAAAAGCAGTGTCTTTGGACAGAGAATGCCGCATTTTGCCGTGATTTTATGAGAAGCGGAGGTGACTAATGTTGGTGCGTTGATTGTAAGTTTTTGTGGGATCAATGCGATGAAATCTATCGATAAACACTCCTTCTTGCGAAAGGTCGACTGTGAAATTTACTGAATGGTCTCGAAATATATAGTACTAACTTACCAGGTATAAATGAGCGGGGAATGTGGACTCATTTATTAAGCCTTTCCAGTTGTAAGTACATGTGCTGATATTTACAACGAGTGTAATTACGTTCGTCTAGGCGGCGATCACAACGCTATGCCAGTTTGTGACAACGATCGAAGGTAAGCTTATGTATTGTCGAATTTGATATGTATTAACTTTAAAAGAAAAACATCTTCCCCACATTGGTATATTGATTCCTTCTAGCCAAAAAAACACAAGGGAATGTTTTGTCATGATCCAGAGCACCAATGAATTCTAATGCCTTTTCCGATAATTTTGAGGGAAGATATAGAATCTCTGAATTTCGCACATCAACTTGGTATTTATTTACACACTCACTGCTTTTGTATCGGAAATCTTACTCGTTCGTACGATTTCTGCCCCGTCTACTAATGGTTAAATGCCATGTACTTTCCATGAAATATTTCGTAAATGTTACTTTGTTTATACCAAAGTAAAGGAGGATTTTTTATTTTTATGGCCACGTCCTACGATTGTTCAGCGTCAACCCGCACAGAGCTGATCGCGGCCGAGCGTAGTTACACTTGTAAATATCACCCCACTAAAAACTAAAAATCTTAAATGAGCCAATCCCCCTACATGTATACCTAAATTTGCACTATATATTTCGAGACCTTTTCTTCATGTAGATCACTGTGTAAGTTCAGTAAACATAAATTTCACACTCAACCTCACGCAAGGAGTGTTTATCGATAGAATTTATCGCATTAATCACACAGAAACTTGAAATTTCAACGCACCAACATTAGTCACCTCCGTTTCTCATAAAATCACGGCAAAGTGCGGCATTCTATGCCCAAAGACTCTGCTTTTAACGGAGAAACAACTCCACGCCATACAATTCTTTGTAGCGGCTCGCAATGTTTGCCCCCTGGCGATCCCAAAATCCGGTGCGCAAAACATGAGTATCCGATTACTGGAAAATCATTCATTGCAAGTAATGTAAAGCAGTATGTCGTCGTGTCCACCCCACATGATCCATGATTTCCGACAACTCAGCTCCTGACAATGCCAGGGTTATAGCACATCCGGCTCTAAAGCCATGAAGAGTTTCCCCATCGTCTGACCCCATCTCCCTTAGGTATCCCTTTAAACGAGCCTCCGCCGCAGTTGAGCTAAATGGTGCATCGAGTATGCCCCCTTGAGGAGTAGTTGGGCGAAAAAGATAACCCCTTGTTAAATCGATCCTTAGTTGCTGAGCCACTGCCATATAATGTTCTATTCCCTGAACAGGACAGATCTTTGTGGGTTTCGTTTGATCCCAAAGACATTATCATCACCGTCCCTCAAGGTTTTGCCCCACTCGTGGTTAAACAGGAAACCATCATCATTTGGGAATCTCAAAATTTCTGGTACCTTCACCAGGCCAATATCTCCAGGCCTATCACCACTAAAACATACCGCCTTAAAATACGCCTGGTCCCTCGCGAGAATAAAACGCTGTGTTGGAGTGATATTGGGAGACTGCAAATTTCTATCGATGTAATCAGATAATTGAGCAAGTTTGTCCACAAAAAATGGGAAAGCTTGTTTCGGCGTTACTCTTGCCTGTAGCTGCTCAGCCGTGACTAAACGGAGATAGTCCTTAACAGATTTATCTGCAGCCGGGTTTCTAAGGCCAAGGCGTCTATCCCATTCCCCGTCACTCCCAATAGCGTGGAAGATTGCCCGTAGTTTACCAATATACGAGTCTACAGTTTTATAGGAAAGTCTTAACGCGCAAGCACAATCAAATGTGCCTCTCTTCCCCAGATGAGGGCATCCGTTACCATGGACCTGGGTTTTCCCATTCTTGTCTTTATGCACCAAGAAACGGCAAATATCACGCGGTGTAACAGTTGAAACTGTAATAGAGCCTGGTAGAGAGGAAAGAAAATTTTCTAATTCCCTTTGAGGCGAAGCTTTTTGTTTAGAGTAACAAGTTGCTTGATCAAACAAGGCCAATTGTCGAAGACGATCATCAATAGCGTTCACATCCACATCGAAAGGCATACTACTTTTGTTCTGTAAGATTTTCCTTTTATAGCCGCATCGTTGGCAAAAGCGGAAATCGGAATCATTGGTAAAACTACAATTTGGACACCTCACAGAAGGAGTGAACAGCTTTGCGACCACAGGTAAATCCTAGTAAAAGGAAGAAGAGGAAACGTTTATATAAGAGACATTGAAATTTTATTCTATCAAAAGTATACAACGGTAGCAAAAAGTACACTTTCCACGAGACAAGATGAAATTTATAAAGCAATTGCAAATGCGTTTATAGTTACTGTTCAAAGTCAATTACAAGATATACCCTAGTATCGTACACCAAAAGCCCAGGGATCCCAGGATGGGGAATCCATCCTTGTTTGGAAGGTAACAGAAGTGCCCCAGCCTCCCCCTTTACTGCCAATCTACACGATTTACTGGCACAACTTTGGAGAAGAGGCCACCAATACCTCTTCGGATAAACATCAAAGGCTATGACCGAGCACGACCGCCCGTGGGATCTCAGAAAACGCAGAACAGGACCCATCAGAGAGAGAGGCGGGAAAACGTAAGGGTACTCCAGAAACGGGGTTCCACTTGATAGATCTTGCGCAAAGAAATTGACACCACAGGATTGCGGCGACGGGTGGGGCGTAAAATGCGGTAACAGCGAACCATCCTGGTCTGTCATTGCGTTTGAATCAAGTGCCATCAAGTCACACGTGTGCCCCTTTGGACCACCAAACTCTTGTTGTACTCTTTGCCATAACTTCGGATGAAGTTTGCAATCAAGGGTTGTGAGACAGCGAGAGGGTACGTCCGCTTCATTTTCTTTTGATGTGATATACGTCAGATGGAGGGTCATATTTAACTTTGAAGTTGTGAAAAATAACTTCTTGATCGCCCTGTTCAAGGACATGCTCCTACCCCCTTGCCTTTGCCAGGAGTAGACAACTGCCTGATTGTCAACCAGGCCATCTACCTACGCATTCCTTAAAGAGTCGAAGAAGGAAAGAAGGACCTTGTCAAGCGCCAGTGCCTCCTTTGCGGAGATATCAAGCTCCTGCTCCTCCTTCGTCCAGTAGTCAGAGGCCTCAACCGTATACGATCACCCAAGGTTACTGAACCACCCCAACTCGAGGCTGAGGCATCTGTTGCTAAGGATATGCGGATATGACGTTCATCTCTCCAGCGGAGGGGGTCGTCCCACGTACGCAAAAAAAGCCAATGTGAGATTTCCTCCCTCAGTGCCTCATGTAACTTGATAGGTCTGGATGTGCGTAAAGCCTTGGAAATAGCATTATTCATCTCCCTGGTAAACAGAAGCGCTCCCGGAACGACCAGTGAAAATGACACACATTTGCCCACCAAACGCTGGAGGCTTTTGACTGAGACTATTGAACATGCCAGGGTTTGTTCAATAAGAGGAAGAAACTTCTCCTTCTTTTCAGGAATAAGATGGAATACCTCTCGAGAGGAGTCGGACAGGAAACCCAAATATGGGACAATCTTACGAGGCATCAGAATAGATTTGGGTAACCCAAGAAAATATCCTAGCTTGATCAGAAAATAAGTTACCAAAAAGATAGCCGATTTCGCAGCTGCTAAATTATGCTCATCGAGATTTGCAAGGTTCGCATAGGCTCCTTGGTTGGGTGGGATCTGAAGTTGGCCATTGTGCCGGTCATCAATGTACAATGAACAAGGTATCCCTATTGATCGGAAGAAATTAGATACTACTAAACCAGTGGAGTGGTATACAAAAGGAGATATCTTCCAGCCACCCACCCCACTGCATACCAAAAAAGGTTCTACTTTCCACGGACAAGAGGAGATGGTCATACCCCGACTTGTCATCAAGGATTGTTTGATAGGTATCACGGGCCACATATCTTGGTAAATCCAAAAGGGTATCTAACTTGAAAGGCATGTCCCTCATCCATAGATTTCAAAAACGAGCGCCATGGCATAATCTCGGCTTGGTGGGCTCCACAGTCAGAGGAAGGACCAGATGGGGTGGATCAACTTCCCCCACCTTTCCCTTCAGAGAAACTGCCCCCGAGGCTAAGCGATCAAGCAGTGTGCTTCTCACAAAATCCGCGAGGGGCTTACACGACATATTATTCCTGGAAAGTTCAGAAGGTGGATAATCCGAACAGTACTGTTTCCCCTTGAAACTACCAGAGAAGGGTTGAAAGTATTCAAAAATGGAGACTTTATCTTTTATCCATTTCAAAACCTGAACTTGTTGAGCGGATGGAGAACCGCCAATTATATCCTGCCATTGATGGTAGTAATTGTGAACTTCTCCAGCGCGAAAAGTAGCAGGGTCTCTAAACCGCAATGTCGCAGGGTCTCCAAGTTTATCACCATGGCAAATCTGGTCAATTTCTTCTCTCGAAAGCTCTAAGACTGCCACCCCGGCAGTGCCAACCCCAACTGAGTTCCCCAACCAATCAACCCAATTGATTGACTTTGGAGAATACTGAGTATGAGCGTAAAGTTTTCCTTCAAATTCCGAGTCGCACTCCCAATCCCAAGTCAAATGACAAGAATTCTGAGAAGGGAAGGGCAAAAATATTCTGATTATAAACACGAATAAATGTAACAGAACGTCGGTGGGGAACCCACGGGGCCAGCAAGAGGTGACAGTCATGAACCAGCATGACCGGGGGAGTTTGTTTAGATGCTCTTTTTCACAACTGTCACTCCATGCAAACCCTTGAAAACTTATTATCTATACAAGGGAAAGAGTCCAAGAACATTAATAGGATGCTCAATACAGAGAAAATCATTTATTTCCAACATCCTTATCATTATTACCAACAACCCGTCATAGGTAATACAAAGAAACTGCGGTGAGATTATAAACTGCTCAAACTTTACACAGTTATCTCTCTATTTATTCTGATTTGTGTTAACATTTGGTTGAGGAGCCCCACGGGAAAAACCAGAAGGCCGCCCAAATCTCTTTTCCATTTGAAACAATTTATTTGAATATGCCCAGGGCGATTACAATAGTAGCAACGAACTCCCATGTAAGGGGCTGCTATGGCTTTTCTACCAGGTCCGGAATTCTGCCTCACTGACTTTCGACGATTATTCTTCTGAACCTTCGCCACCACCTCTAACACCTTCTCCTGGTCCTTATCACCAAGCAAAGGAAGGAGAAAATTGCGAAACTGGTCGTTGGGCTCATCAGCTTTCCCACGTAGAGTCTCAAACGCGAGGCGAAAATAACCCGCCTTCTCGTGCTTTGTATCTTGAGCCGCATTCTTTTAAGCTTCTAAGAGGTCTAAGGTCTCAAACCTATTGAATTCCGGAACAGGGGAGAGGCCAGGTGACGAATCTTCTCCAGAAGGTTATCCACCGAGGACTTGGTGAGGGCGTCCATGGACTTCTTTAACTCCTCATACTTAAGCTGCAACGCCTATGGAGAGCAATAAGCCGAGACAAATTCTATACAGAACTTATTATAAAAACCACAAAAAAGTTTCCCTTTCAGTTTCAGGCGTTAACAACGGCCTTAGCAAACAGGCCTCAAATCTCACTGACCAAATAAACGTTCATTGTGCCAAAGTGTTATGACGTAATTTAAAAACAAAGAAATCGCTCAATCGGCTCCTGCACAAGTTGATTATCAATTCTAGGCAATATTCAGCGATTGCGTCATAACAACAAGCAAATTTCAAGCTACACAAGAACAACCGTCACAATCGTTAACTCGCTAATCTGGGTTGGACATGTTCAAGACAATATCAGACAAATAACAGCACAGGCAGCCCAAGCTCGAAATATGAGCATCGGCGAGCATCGGCATTGTTGCGTAACATTTAAAATATAAGGATTTGTATGAGAAAAAAACCTATCGTTTCCGTAACCTACGAAAATGAAAGGATTTCAATAAAAAACAGCTTACCTTACTTAAAATGTGTGTTACGTCTCTCCTGTGTGGTCCACGGGCCGATTCATGGCCGTTTTATGGGTTTTTATGTAAACGGTTTTCTCTCTATATAAAAGTCGAGCTGCTTCGCTGGAGTGCCCAACCTTGGTAAACCTTTATATAGGGAGAAAACCGTTTCCATAAAAACCCATAAAACGGCCATAAATCGGCTCGTGGACCACACAGGAGAGACGTAACACACATTTTAAGTAAGGTAGGCTGTTTTTTATTGAAATCCTTTCATTTTCGTAGGTTACGGAAACGATAGGTTTTTTCCCATACAAATCCTTATATTTTGAATGTTACGCAACAATGCCGATGCTCGCCGATGCTCAAATTTCGAGCTTGGGCTACCTGTGATAACAGTAACAATAAAATTACGCGCCTCACTTAGACTGCAAAACAGTCCGAATTTTGCTGATCCAAGTACGCGCGAGCAGTGAAACAAAAGGTCTGGAGGGAGGCTGAAAAACAGAGAGCGAGATTGGGGAGAGACGCTAAAAATGCTCACACGCCCTAAGGACGCACCTCGCGCGCGTAAGACTCGTACGCCACAGTTTACCGAAATCTCTACTGATTTTGACATTTCACAATCATGATATCAAACAGACAACTTGCTGCGAGAATCACGCCACGACAGTAGCAAGCCAATCATAATTGCCTCATAATAATTTCCCAACTCCGTCATGACAATAACAAGTAAATTACATTCTCCACTGGCCATACAGCATTCCACAGTCATGATCATCAAACAGACACCTTGCTGAGAGAATCACGCCATGACAATAGCAGGCAAATCACAATTGCCTCACTGGCCATAGCAATTCTATCCAAACAACTCCGTCATGACAATAACAAGTAAATTACATTCTTCACTGGCCATACAGCATTCCACAGTCATGATCATCAAACAGACACCTTGCTGAGAGAATCACGCCATGACAATAGCAGGCAAATCACAATTTGCCTCACTGGCCACAACAATCCTATCCAAACAACACTACCGTGTATACATAAAAGTAATTTACTCTATTTACAATAACAAGCAGGTTACAAACAGTACAGAATAATTCTAATGTATAACCCAAAAACCCAACTACGAGGGAAGTAACAACAAGGAACCCCAAAGGACTGGACTTACTCACAAGTTGAGCAAAACCGGCAAACAAACTCCGGACGCCCCGAAGGATAAGCGTTGGTACATAATTACATTACATAACCCAGAAACGTGCAAGATATCAAATACATCGTAAACCAAACTGGAGCAAGAAAATACCAGAAGAGGGACATGAAAAGAAAACACCACCCCCACCCAAAAAAAAAAGAAAAGAAAAAACACTATAGAAACCATGCGAATAATACGAGTAGACACGACTCAAACGTTTACCTCAAGTTTTTCTTCCGCCGTCAATTGACGAGCTTGTTGTCCCGTTGGTGGTTCGGGCGCATCATTCCCCGGCGCTGGGTCTGGAACGAAAGGTCTTGGTATTTGAACTTCACCGTCCGGTTGAGGCATTCTAAATATAAATAAAATAAAGTATAAAACTTATAATACGCATATACAATAGAAAACCGAAGTGTTCTTTGCTGAAAATTCGTGGGAAAAAATTGGAAGTTCCACCTTCCTCCTTGGCGCTGATCCGAGACTGAGCGGAGAGGGAGTATTCAACGGCATTTATTATTGCCCCTTGGGATTCAGGGCCCCGTGCACCTGCATACCCTTGTGCATGAGACTTTAATCTTTTGGCTTCGCGCTTCGATTTTGAGTATTGTGAATAGAGTAACCGACTGTATCAACAAGAGGCCGATGTTCTCCGGTCAGCATTAGATCCCATCGGCCGTAGCCCCTTTCTCCCCTTATGAAATTGACACAAGGAACAACTGTTTTCTGCTTTTATATCACACTTAGATTATATTTCAAGCTGGAAATGTTCATGAAAGTGCAAGTCTCTTCAATTTGAAAGAAAAAAATTTTTGTAATGATAGGTAGCAGGATTCGAACCCCCCGACCAGAGGTACAAGTACACCGCGCTGACCACTATACCACTAAGGATTTGTTGGAGGAAAGGGAAATAATTTAAGTACGTATTACATCAACCCCAATCCAAAAAAACCTAACCTGTTTAGAAATAGTGCTGAATCTTAAACTGTAAAGGCATTGCTTAACCCTAATCAGTAAAGGCAGTGCTTAACCTTAATCAGTAAAAGCAATGCTTAACCCTAATCAGTAAAGGCAGTGCTTAACCTTAATCAGAAAAAGCAATGCTTAACCCTAATCAGTAAAGGCAGTGCTTAACCTTAATCAGAAAAGGCAATGCTTAACCCTAATCTGTAAAAGGCAGTGCTTAACCCTAATTAGTAAAGGGGGAAACCACGTTGTGTAAATTTCGTGAGGTGTCCGAAAGGGCTACGGTCGATGGGATCTAATGATAACCTCGATCCTCTTTTTCAAGGGGGTTAGGGGGTCTGGGCGCGTTCTAGCCCAGAAAATTTTAAAATTTCAAAGCCCTTAAATGCGATTTTCAGCGTTCTGGGGAATAAATTTGAGGACAAAAGAGCGTGTTTTTCATTCAAGAAAATGTGGCTTTCAATTTATCAGTCACACAATCAATTCCTACAAGCAATAAACAATTGATGAAAACTAAATTACGTACTTGGGGCGTGCGTTTGTATGATTTGAGTTAGAAAATAGAAATTACATTTAAAAAGTGAGAGTCTATTTGTTCTGGTAAATTTTCATCATCTACATGACCAAGGTTTCTTCCTCATCAAGGTCCAGGTTTTCTTCCTCATCAAGGTCGAATCCTGTGAAACGTTCACCTGTACTGACTGGAAATTGTTGCCTTATGGCAGTGTACGCACATGCTGGCAAGGGAATCCTTCTGTTTCCCAAGATCCCATACACAAGTTGTAACAGAATGCCACTGGGATCAGTTCTCCACAAAGAAGACCGCGCTGCACACGACTCCACTGCACTCCTCTTATTGGACTTTGCCCTAAAAGGTGGACGATAAGAGCCAGTTGTTTTCGACGAATTCTTCAAAACTATGCAGTTGTTATGTTAGTGGGATATTTGCTTGTCCGAATGATTACAACCCGATGTACGTGAAGGGATAATAGGATGTAAGGCCTCAATGGAACGATTTGGCTTTTTCTTTGGTTTGCATCTTGGAGAGTGGCTTTGTTCTCACGCCGATAATCTATCTAAGGATTTTCAGGGTACTAAGGTGGCTGCTGTCAGTGGACAACGCCTGGCAAATCTAACAAAGAAGACGCTCATAAAAATGTCCAGTAATCAGAGCTTCGACCATTTCTATGCTAATGTTTCCCACAAGAGTTAAGGGCTGCTTGGTGAACCATCGCTTCCAAGAAAGCGATGCACCTCGACCAGACTGGAGGTTGGTGCTGGTGTACCAAGCTACCTCCAAACTGCCAAAGATCACTTTAGAAGGATCCAGAAGGTCTATTATGAGGCTATTGATCTTATCGTCAGTGCTATCTATCACGGAAAGCTTCAGCTCCTAGCTACGCCCAGATGGAGACCTCTCTTGGTTAGAGCTACTAATGATGACGACTATGAGGCAGAGTTCAAGTTTCTTGAAGCATCATACAGCGGAGATGTTGATACAGGGGCGCTACCTAGGCATGCAACTAAGTATTTTGAAAGTTCTGTTAAAGGAGAAGATATCATGTTTTGAGGAATCCTGTTGGCGGTGTCAAAGTTTCCAGAACCAGAAAAGAAGCTGACTCAGGAAGCCCAAACTATCTGTAAGCTGCCTGTTGTAAATCCTGCTACCAGTGCTGCTGGCGAGCGTTCATTCTCATCTGCACGGCGTCTGAAGACGTGGCTTCTATCCAGACCTAGCAGTGCTGAATGGTTACAAGCGGAGATCAGTCTCTATAGCTGACGTCACACAGGAGTTTCTTTCCCGCAATGAGAATCGCAAGAGAAGCTTCGGCACTGCGGGCAACTTCAAAAAGTAGCAACCTTAGGAAGGTTTATTTAACATATTAGCTATAAAAAAATGCACTTCATTTGAGTGTGAATGTATTTAGCACGAAAGTACTAATTGGGGACACTATTGTTACGTCTCCTACTGAGACGGGACCGCCATTTTACGTGGTAATCCGAGCCACGCGAAGTTCTGACCATTTGCAGCAGGGCGTAATAAGCTAGGGCGTTGAAACGAGCGGGGTCGAACGATCTAGCTGTGATACAAGGGTCTGGGTACTACCAAAGAGACAAAACAAGATGGCGGACATTATACTGGATCGTCAGGGAGATTATCCAGCGAGTGTAACGCCTTCCCAGTTGTTTTGTTTAACACGTGACCCGGTCACGCGCATCCGGGTTTTCAGTTTTTTGTAAGCTCGACGAGAGAGCGGAGTGTTTTTGGCAACGTCGCCCAACGCAGTTCTTTAGGCTTCGCACGAAGCATGTTGTAATAGCCATTACAGTCTTTGACGGTCCCTTCGGTCCGTTAACATCTTGTGAACCAGCATTAAACGGAACTAAGGATCTTGTTAGACGTTTTGGTCATTGTGGAGTGAACCTTTCAGAATTTCTGCAACGCATGTTGCCCTCGCGCCGCCTTCACCCAAAGCGGTCGCTACAGTCAAAGACTCGTATTTACCTCAAGGAACTTTGAAGACTCCTGTTTAATCTGAGGAACTCCAACGAATTGTATTTACGCCGAGGAACTTTACCATGGATTCAGCAAAATTCGATGATAAACACGAGGATACCGGACTCGGGCTAACCTTCGTGTCGAGACCAGAGGAATTTCTCATCGAGAAGAGCGCAAAAAACACACCTCAAGCCCAGCTCACGAAGAAATCGTCGACTCAACAAAGACTGAGGTTAGCTCATCTGTTATTTTACCGGATAATGTGTCTTTACGTCCAAAAATAGAGGAAATTTCATCGATTACAAATGCCGACATTATTGTCGATTCGAGTAACACTAGGCCCAGGACCCTCACGGCCAAAGGGCGGGAATACAAATGTGGCTTGAAGAGAAGCGCTGCGATAGATAACGACCGTCAGTTTCGCTCTAAATTAGACACTTTTAAAGAGCAAATCCTCTCAGGCAAAGATCCTAAGGAAATTAAGGAAGATATTTCAGCTTTGATCAAGGAGTTAGACATTGTCTTACAAAGTTTTGACCAATGGATAGAGCTATCAGATGATTCGGATGAAACTCATCAGGCCACAAGTAAACAAGCTTATCTGCTTGACACATGGAAAGCAGTTCATGATACAGCCGTGAAAGAAATTGACAAATTACAAAATGATGCAGCCTCTATCACATCTCAAAGGTCCCACCGTTCACGAGTCTCGAAAGGGTCGGGATCAAGTAGAAGTTCTTGCAAGGAGATCCTGCTTGAATTTCGAGCTAAGAGAGCAGCCCTAGAAGAAACGTTGAAGTTTTCAGCAGTTATTGCCGAACAAAAACAGAAACTGGAACAGTTGAAAATACAAAAAGAACTTGGAGAAGTCACTGCACAAGAGCAAGTCTACCAAAAAGCAATGCAAGAAGAAAACTGTCTGCAGTCGCCTGCACTGCCGACAGAAACCTATGATCAATTTCCACCTTTATTGCCAGCAATAATGCTGACGAATATACGTCTACACCGGGTGCGCCTGCTACAACGCTCTTTGACACTAGAACACCAGTGACTAAAGTGACAGTGACGTCATCGTCCACACCACTTGACGTTGTATCTGTATCTTTGAATCAAGGCCCTCAAGGATCAACCAATCGAATCTCACACTCTACCACTGCAACCACCTTCAGCTTAAGAGGACAAGCTCCTCCAGTTTACACATCGCCTGCGTGTACTATGTCCCAAATTGGACTCACACCTCCAAGAGGTTTTTGCGGAAATTTTCCAGCGTTTGTACCATCGTCATATACAGCCTACTCCCCTGCACCCCAAGATTATTCAGTGCAACTAACTGACACCCTAGCCAAGATCAGTCAGCTACAACGCCTCCCTCAAGCCACGCCAGATGTTTTTAAGGGTGATGAGACTGACAAGACTAAATTCTTCCTGTGGGAGAATTCTTTTGATAGTCTGATTGATTCAGCACCAGTGACAGCCCAACAGAAACTACACTTCTTGTACCAATATTTGGATGGCAAAGCCAAAAAGTGGTAGAGCAGCTTCAGTACTTAGTGCAGAACCCTGAAAGTGCGTATCAACAAGCCCGCACAATCCTCAAGGAACGTTTTGGCCACCCAGCAATAATCAGTACCAGTTTTCAGAAGAAATTAACAACCTGGCCAAAGGTGGGACCGAACGATGCAGCAGCCTTAGAAGAATTCAGTGACTTCCTTCAACAGGTGAAGATTGCAAGCGAACACATTTTGAGTCTCCAAGTCCTTAATTACCCGTCACAGATTCAAAGTCTTGTCGAAAAGCTGCCATCGTGGTTCAAGCCCAAATGGTCTGATAAAGTGCTGAAACTTCAGAAGAAAGAAGGCAAGGACACATTCCCTTCATTTGCAGACTT